AATATTAATTTTTTCTTCAACAACATTTGCAACCATAATTTGTAATTGTGATTTTAGATAGCTTGAAAAATTTCAATCTCTCTCAATAATCTAGATTTCATATAAAAAATATTCATACTTACAAAAACTTTTGTAAGATTTTGGATTTCATAATAATAAATCTTTACGTCTTTAGCATATGCAAGATAGCAACACTTTTTAGATGTAAAATTCAAATAGTATCTTGTGTTTTAGCAATGTGATTATAATCCATACAGTTTTAAATTTTCAAACAAAAAAATCAAATATTTGATGATTCAATCTAAACAATGTTGAAAATTTTATTGCACTAGAAGGACAAAAGACAAATACAGGACAATAGTTGCAATTCTAGCTTAAAAATCATTAAAAAAATAATATTGAATAATTAAATTATACATTTGCTCCATCATTATTTGATTAAATCTTTCCTAAACATAATTCAATTGAAAAGCATAAATTGTGATGAAAGAATCAATTATTATTAATTTTAGATTAACTTTTAAATTCTTGATGAATATACTTTTTTTCAATATTTGTACGCACATATATCATTTTGCATTAAGTTCAAACTTTAAAAAATTACAAATATCTCTTGCTTTTAAGCAAAAAATAAATCCACACAAACCTGAAATAATAATCAAGAGATCATACGTACTATAACTTTTTAGATTATGGATTTTTCTAAAAATGTGTTAAAGGTTAACCATGAATATATCCAAATAAATCTATTAAAAAATAAATTCTAACAACAAAATTTTCATAATGCTTGTGTATGGCAAAATGTTCACAAAACTTAAAGTCAATTTTATTCATGACAGATGACAAGATGTTTTTTACATGATGTGTCAAATACATCTTTCTCATGTATCTAAGACCAGATTTTCATGAATTATTTTAAATCATTTCAAATTAAAGATTTTTTTATAATAAAATATATTCTAGATGATAATGTCTTCTAACATATATAGAAATTTATTCTTGTGTCATCTTAACTTAAACTTATCATTTGCTTTCACGATCACTTTCGTTTTGGAGCTACATTAAATTTCTTTGTATCTCACTTTTCAAAATAGACAAGATTTTTTTCCACATCAAATATACATTTATTTGAATCAATACACCATTGACCCCAATCAAACATATGACTTTTTTGGATTTATCACCTTTGATTATACATGATTTATAATTTGTTATAAAAACTTAATAGTTTGATTAAAAAAAGACTAAAAATTTTTCTGATATAAAAAATGTGATAAGAACAAGCACTATATAGAATACTTATATAATCAATATTAAGTTGATGAGGTGCAAATAATCTTACATTATAACCTATCATTGAGCAAGTCATAGTCTTGAAGATCAAATTTTAAATTTTAAATTTTAAATTAAGTAAATTGTAAATTACTTGCTTTGAAATTCACACGACATTATTTCTTAATGTAAGGATTTTTAACAACATACTTTCATCTTTTTTTCTAAGTTTTTTAACTAGATTTGGATCTAAATCTAGATTCAAAATTTTTAACATCTTTATTGTTTTGTGACTAGAATTAGCTTAAAGTGATATTATTTGTCGTATTCAATGAAAAAAATGTAAAAGATTTTATTTTCTTTTGATGTAAATTATCAGTTAATAAAATATATACAATAAATTTTAAATAATTTTCTACCTATCATAATAAAATAACACGCGAGACAATAATTGATGCAAGTAGTAAATTAAACAAACAAAGAGTTGATCTATTATCACTTATCTGATCTCCAAAAATCTATACATTATTAAAATCATCATTGTGATCTTGAATCTTTGGTCATAATTTTTTACCTTGAAACACATTATTTCAAGGAGACACACAACATGTTTAACAATTTTTTGTTTTAAAAAATAAAATTTAATTATCATATTTATCTACTTGCTTCAAAATCAAAAGTTACAAATATATTTCAAACTACTCGCATCATGTTTTTGAACATATTTTGAGTTTTCATAATTAAAAGTGAAATATTTTAGCCTCAAGATCTTGTCACAACACATAGCCTTCAGTTTACCTTTGACTTGTCTTTGTTATAGCAAATTGACATGATAACTATCTGCTTTGGAGCTATGTCATATCTAGCTTTTCAAGATTTTTTTACTACTATCTTACTTTATTAAACTCTTGAGTTTGTTAATTATGTTGTGTGTTGATAAAATTATATCTTATTAATGATAAAAATGGTCCAAATCCCAAATTTTGATTATCTAAATTCAATTTTAGATCTTCTAACTAAAATGTAAAACAAAGTCTTAAAGGTTTAAGTCAAATTGTTGATATAGTAGAAATTTCTAGAATATACTTCTAGTTTCTTTCTTAAGTTGTTTTGTAAGTTACTAAATGAAACGTTCATTTGCTTTTCTTTAATAAAATGGAAAAAATTTACACAATGGAGTACCAAAGAGTTACACAATTCAAGTTACATGAATGCTTGCACATCCAAGCATTAAATGATGCAAGTTGATCAACTAGTAATAAACATTCTCATTGCATTTGACATGCCATCTCATGACAAGAATGGCTCTTAATTGTCAATTAATCGGAAAATTAGAATAAGCATGTTTGGTAAGTAGTGAATTAGTTAATAAGTACCTCTGGTTGAACACTTATATAAACATAACACAAATATCATATTGTATTATATCTATAAAAGTCAAATAATAGCTATCGAAACTATATGTGAAACTGAATAAACTACAATTGAAATCAATGCCATTAAGATTTTTAGGTTTCATGAAAAAGATAATTCTTTGTGAAAGCTCCCAAAGTCCGAACTTTCACTAGCTAAAACCGAGACGGTTGCCAGTAGTGGAGAAGGAAGGGTGTGAAAAGTACATTATAAAATAATGCAAACGTGCTACTACTTCCCGTAAAGCTTATGCATACTGATGGAGTACAAATTCTACGTGTTGAGGTTCAACGAAGAACTCCCGCACATGGCCATTAGGCTCAAAAATCTGAACATGTTGAAGTCATTTGACTTTTTCCACGTGTTGGATCTATGATTGTTTCATTTATTCATTCTGCTTGGAAAAAGTTTTCTTGCTGATGTCCAAATGCAGAAGTAGTCAATAGCTTCCATCAAGTTGAACTGCCTGCAAATAGTTCTTTGTTTTTTTGTTGTCCGTCAAACCCTATCAATTTGTATGACATGCAAATATATTCTTGTTCTCTTGTTTTTTTACCAAATTCCACAGGTTTTTTATTGCTTCGATAAATTTGTACAAACTACAAAGATGAGCAAGGAGGTGATTGAGGACTACATATGCAACTGATACAACAAATAATGGTCCAAGAAAGTGTTACAGAAATTTTATCTTCACAAAAGTGCTGTCCCAAGTTCAAAAGGCACAAATCTAAATTACAGCTTCTACGACCTATGAACGCTTTCAAAATTAAGTTCCACAATTTCTCTCACAAGTGAAAATCGCTTCTTCGCAATCTCCATCGTACGCTTGAACGCATATTTTAGCTTCTTGTATCTGAAAATTCATGACATATGTTTTACATCTTGAGGTGACAAGCATGAATATCGTTGACTTATGAAGTCAAAGATAAACCTGCAAGTTCTTTCCTCCATTGCAGATCAATCATTGGTTTTTACTCTTGAATGTTTTTCAATGTTTTATCATTTACTCACAATGTTTTTTCACTTGTACAGGTGTATGAGCTCATTTATATGGTGACAATCTTATAGCTTCACTAGCTGAGACCCGGCTAACTTGAGGTAAACTTTAAATTATGTCACCAGAAGTTTTTGTGAACTCTTTCATATAGTGATTGCTCAACAACTTCACTAACTAAGCTCAAGCTAATCTATGAAAATTGATGACATGTGACTTAAAATTTAATTTTTTTTGTTTGTAGCTTGTTTTTGCATGTGGGTTTGATCGTAATCAAATAAAAAATTACTTGTATGGTGAAAAATTACCCGAAATCCTTTTCTTTGAGCATATCTTTACTTGATGTTTGAATAGAAGATGTTATCTATTGAAAGTTGTATTTTGAATGATTACCTTTAGTTCTTGAGAAGTTTTATGCATTGAAGAATGAATGATTAGTAAAGGTGCATGATGATAATCAATACTGGATGCCTAAAAATTTTCTAGGAAGATTAAGAGACAAAGAGTTGATAAAGAAATTGCAACTTTGGTTAAATGACCATTTCATTTGACTTCAATGTATCTTTTACAAAGGATTGAAATTCCTTATGTTTAATTCCGTTTAAATGGCAATGAGAAAGACAAACAAAATGAGATTCAAACACTAGTTTATAATTTACAACTTCTAAGATTACACAAATTTCATTATTGCAATTATAGTTTGATATACATGATAATTTTTTGGAATCCAATACCTTATGTTCTTTTGATAATCATTCTCAATGATTATCTGGTAGAAAACTAACATCAAATCTATATCATATGAAAAATAAATTCGTAATGAATTGATGATTTTAAGAAATTTTATTATTTAAAAAATAATGTACCATGATAGTTAATATATATTTACACAGTTAGCGAGCATTTTTATGATGTGATATACAACACCTATATTCCTTACCCATCCTCGGTTCTAGTAAACCTCATTAGGTAATACATTCAGTGGGTCACTGATGGAGTATAAGTGGGACAGTGTACTATGCATACCAAGAACAACGGTATCATTGCGGTGATGAAGTAATATTATGCATATCAATTCAAAGTCAATGTGAATTCGTGTGTGGACTAGAGGACGGGGGTTACTCAAGAACACTATGACGTACCCTGAATTATAAACCAATTTTAATATTATACGTTTTTTTCGGGTCTGTTCGGGAATAAACGTTTCCCGAACAACACCTGTTCCTTCTGATAAGTGCGTGACGGAATCCATCGAGTAAGTCAGATAATCTGCAGTGAATAACGCAGTATCTTCTGGGAGACTACTGTATCTAGAGCGAGGCTACGTAACAAGGTCCCCAATCACTATTACAAACACTACAACTTATAATCCCAACTGCACGGAGCTTCGAAGTTGCATGAAACCATTCGTCTTGCTGCATAAGAAACTAAGAAATATAGGGGCAGAAAGGCCATTGAAAGTGAACCGCGGGTAAGTTATTCATCCTCAAGTTATGGTAGCAGCATAACATTGTGAGCTGTTGGAAACTTCATACCCAAATTTTGCTAGAACGGGAATTTTCAGAGACGTAGCAGCCACATATGCAACACTTGTAACGTTCACTTTGCCCGTCATCCTTCAGTATGAAAATCAATACTGTACGCCACAAGTGGCCCGTCTATTCGCCCTTCTGCGAATCGTACTCCGACCTGAAAAGCAAGTTCAATCGGTCCCTTCCGGCATATCCTTACACGCAAGTAAAGTCTCTTTTCTTGGGCTTCTGATGCTCATGTTATAAGCAAGTATGAGCACTCGTCTTTGCACACAGCACCATATCTCTGCAATGGCAGAAAACGGTTCCCAGAAGATAACTCCCGGAAGCCTTGATGTCGAACAGCAAAGCTTCGACGATGCAGCCGAACGCGCTCTTGTGTGGAAGATCGACTTGCGCCTCATCCCATACCTCACGTTTCTATACCTCCTCTCATACTTGGATCGAGCGAGCATTGGCAACGCTAAAATCGAAGGACTCGCTGTGGACCTCCGTCTTACAGACCAGCAGTACCTGTGGACTTTGACAGCGTTCTTCTTCCCATACGCGTTCTTCGAGGTACCATCGAACATCTTGATGAAGAGTCTGCGCCCGAGTATATGGCTCCCCTCCATAATGATCGCGTGGGGAACGTGCATGACCCTCATGGGCCTCGTGAAGAACTTCGAGGGCTTGCTCACAGCTCGATTCTTTCTGGGAGTCGCGGAATCGGGACTATTCCCGGGCGTCACTTACTACTTGTCGTGTTGGTACAAAAAGCGCGAATACGGCGTCCGAACAGCGATCTTCGCCTCCGCGTCGCCCTGCGCGGGAGCGTTCGGCGGCCTCTTGGCAGCGGGCCTCGCGCAGCTGGACGGGGCCGGCGGGTTGGCTGGCTGGGCTTGGATCTTCATTCCCGAGGGCCTGGCTACCGTCGTCGCGGGCCTGGCGTCGTTCTGGATGGTCCCAGATTTTCCGGACTCGGCGACATTTCTGACGCAGGATGAGCGCGACCGCACCATCGCGCGGCTGCAAGCGGACTCGCAGCTGTCGGCCGGGCACTTCGAGGCATTCCACATGCGCCGCTTGTGGACCGCGATCAGAGATTGGAAGACTCCGGTGGCGATGGTGATTTACATGGGCCTCGTTGGGCCGGCCAATGGACTGACTCTTTTTCTCCCGTCCATCATCCGAGACCTCGGTTACACCTCGACGCATGCGCAGCTCCTCACCGTGCCGCCGTATGCGGTTTCATTCCTCGTAACTGTGGCTGTCGGATTAGCAGGTGATAAGACTGGACAGCGGGGCAAATTTGCTGTCCCCTGTGCTCTCGTTGCCATTGTGGGCTATATAATGAATATTATACCATCCTCCGGACCAGGGGTGCGATACGCGGGCGTGTACCTCGCCGCTGTGGGGATTTACCCCGCCGTTGCAAATTCCATATCGTGGGTCGCGAACAACGTGGAGGGTTCGTATAAACGAGGTATTGTCATGGCCATCATGATCTCGTGGGGGAACCTGCAGGGTGTCGTGATTTCGAACATTTATCGGGCCAAGGATGCACCGCAATATGTTCTGGGCCACTGTGTTGTGGTGGGATATCTGGTGATCGCGTCGATTGCCAGTGCGTGCTTTTCTCTTGCTCTGGCAGCAGAGAACAGGAAGAGAGAGAGGGGCGAGAGGGATTACAGGATCAAGACTGGCACGGAGGAGGAGAGGGCCGAGATGGGCGATCTGCATCCGTCTTTCAGGTATACGATTTGATCAGGCAGTCTCACAGGGTTGGACCAGTCGTTGGGCTTGTGGAGTGATACTCCGTCCACTTGTCCACTCGGAGTTTGGGTGGATGCATATTGCTTGGTTCAAATTTGCCGTCTCGACGGCTCTAGTGGACGGAAAGGTTTTGAAGCTGAGGAGCTATAGTAACATGGTAAGAACAACGCCTAAAAATTCGATGACCATTTGGATGCAAGAAGAAATAATCAATCTGCATGGAACCTACCGAGTGCAGAGCCTAGCTGACAGGTATTCTCAGAGCTACAACCAGCAAAACTCTCGTGGTTCGGAAACTCAATCGAATAATATCCGCACACTAGTTGGCCAAACACCCGCTTGCAGTCGATTTTCTGCCAGTGCCCTCAAGTAGATAGCCAGTTGATTGCGGAGCTGTCTGAGGTAGTTCGCATATGTCCACCAACCCGCATTGCTTTCTCTTGTGATTCCACTGCCCCGTGGCCTCCTGGTTCCGTCATTTCACGAGCATGGGCTGTACGTACAGCTCGAGTACACTAGGAAAATCGTGTCCCCCAACGTTTTTGTACCGGCATAATGGTATTCTCCCGCGGATGCATTATGCAATAAGCCGTGAAGTAGAGCACACAGTCTAGTTTCGCCTTAGAACTTTACACTTCCTTCTTCCCTTCGGAATGTTTTATTGCTATGGAAGACGACAATTGTCATTATCCGATCACCAAACTGGGGACTATGCGAAGGATCCCAAAAATCCGGGCGCCGCTTGGAAGTGTATATTGTTGTATCAAATGACATCGTTCTGTCACTACTGTACTGGACAAATCCCGGAGTGTGTTTCAAATTCTGATTAGGAAAATCCTGTTCTGTAGTTGCCAATGGACTGTCTGCCTCTTTTTGTCATGGAAAGCACTGAGTCATGCTATTTTGAATTTGATGAACGCCAATCCAAGTCACACGCGGTAAATGCGGAAAACGAAAATAAGGCTTTCTTGAAGGTACAGGGCCGTACTTTTAATTTGGTCTCGGGTCGAAATAATGTGATGTTGTATACTTGACTGATCCACTTCCAAGTATGTTGGAGGATGATTCGGACATGCTGAACTGGCGTATGGAATGAACAGGGGATGACAAATTCCGAAGGAAGGGTTGACGTGGGACAGTATAAATTGTTGACTCAACCGTCTTTCCTTAACGAACACAGAGGTAAAAAAATAAAATCAAACAAAACTGAAGAAATCACGGCGCTGTAAAAATCACAACGAACGACAATTTTTGTAGTCTCCCCCTGCATTATTTTCATCAATCTGAAATTCGGCTCGCTCGAGATTTAGTTACAAATTTCGAAAGTCTACTTGTAGGTAGATCGACAAAATTAGACGACCCTATCAGACGTCATTACGCTACACAGTAGAGATGAACCAGAACCAACTTAGAAACTATTAAATCCCGAACCAAAAAAAATTCCTTGGATTTCGAGCATATTGATGTGTAAACCATATAACAAAATAAAGATACATGTTTGATGATTCTAGACGAATAGTATAGACCAGGCCAAATAGTATCACAATGTAAATTATAATGTTTTTCACCAAAATATATGATATCAAATTATCGTCAAACCACATGAGCATACCAAGAATCATCACATGAAGTGTTGTTCCCCCATAGTTGCACGGATTAGTTCTTATTATGAAATTATATATGAATCTTGTTTTAAACATATTTTACAATAATCTGAATTTTTTTTCAAATGATTTCTCTTCTAGTAGTCTACACTCTTTTTGACACGTTCACAACCATGTCAAAGTCCATAACCTAAAACTAGAGTAACTATCTTATGCATACTTCTATACTGTTCCTTTGATTATTATTTTTTGAACTAGTGACAAATCATAAATATTTAATCAGCCTTTGAAAACACTATCACTTGTTGCATGTTCAATCACAATGTATGTGATAGTATCATATTTCTCTTTTAAGCAGGTAGATCTGAAATAATTACAAGACATAATAATGTTTGTTTCTTATGACAAATTCATTCTTCTTGCCATATAATACCCTTAACAATATTATGAGGACTAATCTATTATCAAATAAACACCAACTCAGAAGGATTGATGCTATATCTTTTTTTGAAACACACTTACACACGAATAATATAGATTTAACCACTAAACCACACCAAGAAAATATGTCATCTTCGTTAAAAAAGGCTTGCTGCTAGTTAGAAAGTCATATTATTTTTTCTGGCGGTCTATGTGCCTACATCCTTGTCAAATTAAGACAAAGACAAGCTTTAGTATCGCAAAGAATGATTGGGTACACAAGAAAATATTTTAAAAGTTAGAAAGATTTGTTCAAATAAAGACTTCATACCTTTACTTCAATATAAAAATCATTTATGCGATCATAAACCAAGAAAATCAGAAAGACAACAAGGTTGCAAGACAACATAAAATAAAAAAACGAGTGAATACTTTTTCATCTCTACCAAGCTGATTGCTCAAAACTATTGGACTAAATGCAAATTTTCATAATCTGATCAGAAACTACCATGATTAATCTGATCAACAACTTTTTATGTTTTATAATGGAAGTTAAAGCAAAATCTTCTGGAATCTTGTGGAAGTGGTAAGTGAAGTAACTTTTAGTAATTGATTTGTCTTGTAATAAAATTCATCAATTTTCTTACTTGTGAGAAGGCAATATTTGTATAATTTATTATCTTATTAAATTCTATGATTGGTTTTATAAAGATTTTTTCATATTGGAGACTGAGATCAATAAAATTGATAGTATTTTTACAACGTATCAAAATTGTACCGATTATTTCATTAGCACGTAAACTCTGCAATATTATATTTTAAGACATAACATTCCTTTCGTTGATTGTGATTGAACTTTACGTTTGCTGCATTTGATATTGCTGTTATTTACATATTTAGAAAATCATGTAAAAGTTTAGTCTCATTCTTCTCATTATCTAATCACTCTATTCGTAACTTTTTTGATTTTAGACATGTTATCCAAAACAAAAGAAATAGTAATAAAATAAATGTACATATCATTAGATTTTATATTTTTTTAGAAATTTTATTAAAAAAACATATCTTAAAAAATTCCAACTATAATGCATTAGATTATTATTGGAAAAACTTAAGAAAGAAAACTGTTTCATAAACAGTGAACAGCTATATGGTTTTATCACTTATAAGTCGTTTGATATGACTAGTTTAGACTTTGCATTGTAGGCGAGACATGATTCACATCTCAATGCTGTTGTTATCTAAAACTTGGAATTTTTTTTCCTTGTTCACATGAGGGGTCTTTTCCTTGTTCTTATTATCATATTTGGTTCCTTTTTTTAATCGATTTCATATAAATTTAACATGTCATTTATCTTGAATTCATGTACTTTAATGGTGAAAACACTTTTGACTATTATTTTCTCTTTTCACTGTTGTTTTCAACCACATAACAGCATGACAAGTGATATTTTATTGACTTCTATATCAGCTTTGCTCTTCGTTGGATATTTCTGTGACATTCCTAGTCAGCAACACATGCTTCATTTATACATGTATTGTCTGAACACAAAATGTAATTATCGTGTAAGTATCGAATAATGTAATTATCCTGAACACAAAACAATCTATTATGTTCCAATCCGACTCATGTCATGATGGGAGGAGCAATTCCCAATGCGATCCAATGAATGAATGAATATATATATATATATATATATATATATATATTGTACACTCTTTTTTGGATTTGATTGCCTTATAAAAAAAAATAGGTTGGATGGAACCAATGAAAATGTTGTGATTGATACAATGTGTGAGATAGTTGGAAAAACACAAATTATTGAACCTATCTACACATAAAAATAGATGATGAGGTAAATCATCTACTGAAATCCAGAGAATATGCATCTTCCACACAGGATAGGAATTTGATCGTCAAGAGATTCTAAACAATTTGTTAGAACTTGATACTTCATCTTGGTTTTGTCAAGAGCTAGTTCAAACAATCTTGTGTCTAGACTTGTCTCTTGAGCGTTGAAAGAAGTATACAATATCAGTAGGAGCTCAACTAGCGTTAATTGTCGATTGCATATCCTATAATATTAGATAAAGAAATAAATATGTGGCGAACGAGGTCTCCTTGAAACTAAATCCTCGTGATGGTTGAATGAGTAGAAGAAAAAACCTTTATTGTTATATTTGCCCTGAAATTCGGGTCTTGGGTTTTCATAAAGTCCAGGACAGGTTTCACAGTGTTCTGTTCGAGCAGAAGGTACTGTACTGAAAGTTCATAGGTTCCGAACTGGGCTTCAGTGACAGATGTACATATTCATAAAATAATCATATACACTCAAATCCACAACTCATTCTACATGGCTGTCAAAGTCTTCATCATAAACAGGGTATCAACTTTATGTCTGTCATGTCAGTGTCGAAAGTATGTAAGTCCCATCATTCCAACAAGAACCATCATTACTGGAAGCTATATTCGGGAAAATATGGAACTCTCATCAATGGACAGGTTTATCAGAGCTATGAATCTGATTACTAATTTCCAGGATCATCCGATCAACGGAATCGAAAACAGTATGATGGAACAGGGGCCAAGTAAATAGCTGAAAGGCTAGGAAGATCCCACTATGGTGATTTCCAAAGTGCACCAGGAGGTTCCGACCAAAGTCCGCGGCTCTCTTCTGACCAGTCTATGTGAGCAAAGAATCTAGGACATGATTCACTTCTGACCAGACTATGTGATAAAGGCGTCTAGGACGTGACTCGGGAGTCGCTAAATTTGACAATCAATCATCACTTGGCAGATTTTCCATGGGCAAAGCACTGAAGGGTGAGACCATGTGCATAATAAGACCAGTCAACCTCGTCAACCTCAATGAACTGTCTCATGTACGAAAGCTGACCCACATAGACCCAAGTCACTGTTCTCGTGCCCTATCTAAAATAATTTGGCAATTTAGGCTTGAACCTTGTATCAAGATGAAGGAATAAGAACTAAGGATATATAGCGAAAAGTACAAAAACCACGGGCAACAATCCTACATGTGACCCAGAGTCGAGTTTAGGTGGTGAGTGGAGCGGCGTATTACGGCATGTTAAACAATCATCTTTTTGTTTTACAAGGTTTAGATGGGAGGAGTGCACCCACATAAGTAGGCCTATGTACATTAGGCATATGCCTATTTGTGCCTAATCAAAGCAAACTAGTCACAAATCCTTCATTATATTAGGCACGATTAGGCATCATTGTTTACGGAAAATCTGAGAAAATAGAAAAACCTTGTTACTGATTCTATCAATTTTAATTCAATTTTACAGACTAATGATTCAATTTCAGCAAGTTCTGAAGCAAGAATTCTCTCAAAAAACATAGTGTACCTTTTTTATTGCTTGAAGTTGCGCAACAAATCACACTATTTACATTGGAGAAATACTTCTAGAGAAACATCTGTCAGTGACATGTTAAAAATGTTCTTCCTGAATTTCAACAGTGAGAAGTCACTCTCGATAGGCGTTGTATTTGGAAACGGTAAACCCAGTCCGCCGACAAAATCTACTACAAAATTAAAACGGCTTGATAAACATGGGAGTGACCACACATTATCAAACGAGCACTAGTGATCATAGGATTCTATGGCTTTCTTGAAAGCCGAGACATTTTTGTACATGGTACAAAGCTCTGCAAATTGGAACTCAATGTTGTCAATTTCATAGGAAGACCAACTACAGTCAAGACAAGACTTCTGTTGGATAATAAGACGACTAATATCATGACCTTTAAGTTTCAC